CTGATTATAAAGTTTACAGCAAGATTAGTTGTGGAACATTCCTCAAACAAATCTGTCTAAACTTGAACATTATCAAATTATAAATAGAAATGCTGCCTTCTCTAAATTAAGAAAGTATTAAAGAGATTAAAAGTTTAACAAATATAAAATTATGATTAATTCAAATTTAAAACTGTTTCCAAATTGACAGTACAAAGTATATACAGCTAATTTGACAAATTCCAAAAGTACATCAGTCAACACAAGTCATGTGATTACTTTTGGTTATTAGTACAAATGAATTGAACTAAAAGTATTTATTCATATCTATTCAGAAAGCAAATGACATATCCTATGATCAGTAAAATTTTCCCATTAAAGAAACACAAATTTAAAGTGTGTCATTTTCTGTTCTTTTAATAATTCTAAATTATTACTTTTTCATAAAATTTTGCATAATTACCATATATTTCCAGGTATAAGGTGACCTTTAGATAAGACAAGATAAAAAATATAGCAAGTTTTCCCACATCCCCATAAAAGGAAACCATTATTTTGTTGATGTTCCATCGCGTGATCACTTGCCAATACTGATATTTTTTTTTTCTCTCTTCTTTTCCTATATTTAAACAGTTACAGTCTGATGTACTAATGGCCATTTACTTATACTTCATCGACAATCATAAAATACCACTAATAACAGTATGATTATGTATGATAATATTATATTATGTTCTGTTGCTGTGACCGCAATCCTAACTTGATGTTTACATTTTCACAGCTGAGCTTACAGGGATACAAGTTGATTTCATTGATATGGAATTTTTCTTTGAATAGGCAATTTATTTTGAAGTGATGCCAGTAATATATAAAGTAGAAATGGTTTTATTACTTTTATCATCAGTTTATTTGATAATGTGAATCATTTCATGTACGTTATTGGTTACTGCACCAAGGCTGAAATTAGCCTAGTGATAAACATCAATCAAAATTTACAATTTCTTTTTTAGAATTGTAGTATAAGATGACCCCCCCCAATTTTTAAGGGCGATTTATGGGATTTAAAGGTCATCTTATATGCAAAAATATGTAGTCTATACAGAAATAATTTTATTAAATAAAACATGGCAAAGTTTAATATGTGTACCTGCTACAAAATGATGCATCAAAAGGACATTTTTTTTTCTTTTGACACCAATATTACTGTATAGTCACTTGGCAATTTTGTTTTAAAAAGCTGATTTTAGAATTTTAAGAAAACCCAAACATATGAAACTTGATTTATACATTTTTTTTCTTAAGAATTAACCACAAATAAAAATTTAAGCACTATTCTTGTAACTAAATGGTCAAATCGTGTTTAAAATTTTGGTTACTAATTCTCAAGAAAGAAAAATAAAAGCATAAAACCAGAAAATTGCAAACTATTTTAAACCTAAAATATGCATTTTTTTTTAATTTATAAGTACAGTTACTTATTGTTATGTGCTTATTTAAATTTTCTTGTTTGCTTGATCAGTCATTTTTATAAATTTATGAATAAAAAAAATGCTTTCATTGTTATTTCTTTATAATATAGTAAATAATAAATATTGCATTGTAGTTGGTTTACATATTTTTATAATACTGTAAATATAAAAATTATTCTTACAAATAAACACTAATACAGTGGTTCTGTGGTTTTATTCCGCATTTTTGAAATGAAAATTTGCTCACACCTCACCAAATTTTATGTGATAAAAAGTACATTTAAAAATAGAAAACAGCAAGAGGGTTAAAGAGAGATAACCACAGATTTAAAGTCAGAATATTATCATTGATAAATCTCACTTCCAATTTGCAGACCCTAGTTACTATATTCTTAATATTTGATATAATGCAAAAATATTAAAATAGTAAAATCAGTCAATAATTATTTATAACTATTTATACTGGGACTCATGCATACAATTACAAGGAATCCATAATAATATTTTAAATTTTGAAATATTTATTTTTGGCATATGAATTTTTTGAAACTGATTCTAAATCTTTGATTATCTTTCAATCATTTCACCTCACCTGCTATCCTCTTCTGCAACACCTATGAGGTGTGCTGCACTGTTTGGGAACCACTGCCCTAATAAAATAGTGTTTAATTCTTTTGTCGTCAGGTCTCAAGAAAAAAAGAGAATGCATAATCAAGTTTCATATATATGGATTTCATTAAAATTCTAAAAATGACTTTTTAAAACAATAAAAATTGCCGAAGGAGTATATGGTAATAGTGGTGTCAAGGGGAAAATTGTCTGTTTGACACACCACCATTTTTTTTTGCAGGTACAAATGTTAAACTTTGCCCAAAACATTTGATTCTAAACAAAGGTGAAGAGGATTTAGAGTTGCACATTTGAAATTCAGAAGCTCAGCAATAAAAAAATAAAAAAAACTTTTATATCAGACAAAAGAAACAGAAAAAATAATTATTCGAACAGGCTTCCATATATCATTAAATTTGTCAATTTAACTGTTAACTGTTGTATTTGAAGTAATCCTGACAAAATGATTGCAGTTTCCTTGCATCTAGCAAATCAAACTTTTGTGATAATTTGGTGTTTTTTATGTTTAGTTTTTGCCTAAATTTTCAATCAACTGAAGCACCTTTTTGACTAAAGGAAAATATGCTACAAAACAAAAGAAATGATTTTAACATAGAAACTACTTGATAACCTTTCTAACTGAAATGTTCACATCACAAAGCAAAAATGAATTGTTTCTAGATGAGGAAGCTTGTCTCATCAATTAAGCTAATTCTCAATTGTGTTTAATCATTAGTGGTAATTATCATTAATTCTGAATTGGAAGAGACAAAAAATTTGAATTGAGTTGAAATGCAATTCTACTTGTAAGAAATTTCTTTAAAAAAAGTAAAGAATCTTGAACAGATTGACTAACCATTTTTTTACCCAAATTATTGCAAAGAACATTGAATAGAATATCTTTATGCTTCATCTGAAGTAAAATCTGTGACATCTATCCAATGAAGATTGGAGAAATGACCAGTTAAAACTATAAGGGTATTAGTCCAAATAAATTTGGATGCATATGAAAAAGGTCAATGATTATCTCAAAGGTTCAATCTCAGGTAAGGGCACTGCCTAAAGAAAAAATGAGAATAACAGAATTGATTGAAATAAAAGGTTCTATTCAAAATGCCATCAAGGACAATGACTATTATTAAAACATAAGGAAAGGTGAAATGTTGGGGTAAAAATGGAGATCATAAACCCAAAATCAGTAAATAAAAATATTTCAAAGTCAAATTTTGTGAATACAGCAATATTATTTAATTGAATGAGATTACTGGATATGAAATTTAACTGACGGAGTCTGAAGTTTTTTTTGTATTTACAAAGAAGCAATTTGAACATTCAAATAAAGTTTGATGTAATAATTACTCCTCTCAAACTTATAAACAAATATAAAATTAACAACTCAAAACCATGAAGATATTCAGGCTAAATAAGTCACTTTAACAATGTGGAACACAGACTCTCTCTCTCAACCCTACAGAATCCCTCTCCCTTGGCTCCATTAATACCTGGCCCTTCTAGTCCTTCCTGAATCATCTTTGAACAGCTGTTGGTCACTGTAGAGCCAACCTTCAGAAATGGGGATATATCACTGATGATGATGATCCCAACTGTCAATGTGGGCAATTACAAACATTTAGTTTGCTTGAATCTTGAACTAGAATGTATTTGCAACATAGTAAAGAAGGCAGAAATTATGAACAAATTTTAATTTCCAAGACAATTCATAAAGTTCCTCTTAAAGAAATCAGCTAATAGATCAAAACTTTATTTAAAATATTCCAAAAGTCATGACATTGATGGTACAAAATCAGGCATGACCAAGTGGGGGTGGGAGAAGCACACTGCTTTCTTTTATAAGAGATAAAAATAATAGATATGGAATCTTACTGGAAGATGTGTATGTTAAAAGAGTCTGGCTACATGAAAGAACTTTTAAACAAACTCAATACAGATTAAGTCAAAATCAATACTGGGAATTTCTCTAACATTAAAATGGTATTGTCATGATTTTATTCAGGGAAAATTAATCTGCACTGACCTACTTTGGCTTATATAGCAAGATTTTTTGAGAATGATTTCTAGATTGCTATTTTTTGCAGGAATATTTTTTGCCTCAATTAAAATCTGTCAAGAAGTACAAAACCCCAGAGGTGAGAAATATTGAGAATCACCATTGGCCAAAGTTTAAAGAATGAGAACTGATTTTCCTGAATACAGTGTCACTGGCTTTATCCAAAAATTTAATTTCTTCTTTTCTGATCGCTTCCTTTATGACGACGATGGCATTGACAACTAAGTAGGCCAATTCTTACAAAGAGGAGCTGATGGCATTGAATGCATACTAATGCTGGTTGAAGATAAAGTTTATCTTGTTGAGCCTTTCTCTCTTGTTGTTGTTTGACTTCTTACTTTTTGGTTCTGATGGTGATGGAACACTGCTCGTTGATATGGTCTCGGGTTTCTGTTTCAAAGGCTCAAGTCTAGTGGATTTCAGTGTTGTTTTGATTTGGTCCTTGTATCTTTGAAGAGAGCAACCCTGTGGTTTTTTTCCACAGAGTTCATTGAATAACACTTGACATGGAAACCTTGACTCTCCTATTCTTGCTACATGTCCTGACCATCGAAGACGGTGTCTAATGATCATCAATTCGATGCTTTGACTGCTGGCTCTTTCCAGGACTTTGGTGTTAGTCACATAGTATTTCCATTTGATATTCAAGATTGAATGAAGCTTTTGCTGGTGAAAGCGTTCTAATTTTTAGATGTCACAGTGATATAGAATCCAGATTTCACAACTATATAGTAAAGTTTAAAATGACAAAAGCATTATAGACCATAATTTTAAAAGTAAAAAAAAAATATTTTCCTGAATATTGTATGGAATAAAACGAGTCATTTCCAAATTTCAGACAAAATTTAATCTAAAATCAATAAATTCAAACAAACTGTTGAAGCAGGAGTTGATTTCTATTTGGCATGAGATGAATGGGGAAAGTAGGAACTGATATATTTCTGAGTTATTTCTCCTGTTTGTTTGATGCAAGGAGAGAGAGAGAGATGCAACCACATTTGAGGTAGGGAGAGAGATGCACTTACATTTAATGCAAAAATGAGATGTAAAGAGAGAGATGGATTCACAATTAATATGAGGAGAATGCTGCACCAACATATGATGCAAATAGATAGATGCATCTACCTTTGATGCTGGGAGAGAGAGAGAGAGAGAGAGAGATGCATCCATATTTGATGCAAGGGAGACCTGATCAGATGAAAAGGAAATAATCTGTTTTCTCATGTCTGATGATGTTTTGAAGAGGAGAAAATATTCAAGTAGACTGATACAAAGCTTTTAGTAAGCAATTACTAGTAATTATTGTAATCAACAAATAAAATCAATATTTTATGTTCATAATAAGATGAAGCCAAACATATTAAAAATGAAAGGTTGGGTGGGGGTAGAGGTTGTTGTAAAGAAAACAGCATGAGGAAGAAAACAAAAAAGAAATTCAAAGAAAGAGTGATACTGATGAAGAAGAGGAGGAAAAAAGGACAGAATGAAGAGAAATAGAGAGAGTGAAAGGAAAGAAAGGGATTAAAGAGAGAAGTAGAAGAAAGATTAAAGATGATGGCAGAAATAAAAAAAGGAAGACTGGAAAAAAGAATGAAAGAGATACAGAAGGAGGAAGGAGAGACGGACAGACATAAGGAAGGAAGGAAGGAAGGAGAAAGAGACGTAAGGAAGAAAGGAAGGAGAAAGAGACGAAAGGAAGAAAGGAAGGAGAAAGAGACGAAAGGAAGGAAGGAAGGAAGGAAGGAGAAAGAGACAGAAGGGAGGAAGGAAGGAGAAAGAGACAGAAGGAAGGAAGGAGAAAGAGACAAAAGGAAAGAAGGAAGGAGAAAGAGACAAAAGGAAAGAAGGAAGGAGAAAGAGATGAAAGAAGAGACGAAAGATGAAAGGAAGGAAGGAGAAAGAGACAAAAGGAAGTAAGGAAGGAGAAAGAGACAAAAGGAAGGAAATAGACAGAAGGAGGAAGGAAAGAGACAGAAGGAAAGAAGGAAAGAGACAGAAGGAGGAAGGAAAGAAGGAAAGAGAAAGACAAAGGAACGAAGGAAAGAAAGGAGAGATAAAAAAGGAAGGAAACGAAAAAAGGCAGAATAAGGAAGAAAGGAGTGTGATACAGAAAAAAGAAGGATAGACAGAAGAATGAGGGAAGGAGAAAGAGAGTCAGAATCCAAAACTGAAGAATTCAACCCTCTTTGCTTCATGTTCTGATATTAAATCAAAACTTTTTATTCAACTAATGGAAAAGAATGTTGCCTTTATCTTTATATTTCCATTGTCTTCAATTGTAATTCTTCACAGACCATCAATCTACAGCAGTAAATAAACAGCATGGATCAGTAAAAACAACTTCTGTCTGCTTTCAGTCAGGTTTCTGAGACAAATAGAATGTGATTCTTCATTTTCAATTTGTGATAAAAAGCAAATATGAGTTAAAATTAATAGCAATGATTGACAAAGCTTCAAACTAAAAAAATAATACTGCTGATACTAATATCTTCTTTATGTGCTGTGTACCTACAGGACATAGGCAATCATGGCTCTCCACAATTTCTTGTCCTTTGTAGCTCTTAATAAATTTTGTATTTTTGTTATTTCTCCGAAACCAAGCTTTGGCAACCTTTTGGAGAGAGAAGGCCAGGATATCAAATTTACTATAATAAATTGTTTCAACTTCAGACCACTCCATTCAGAAGGTCACCTTGATTTGGAGATTTTTAAAAAAAGACAACAAAGTTAATGTTATATTATTTAAAAAAGGTTGCTTATTTTTCTACAGGAATAACAGGATCACAACTAACAAAAAATGTAAATTCCTTACTACAAACAAAATACAGTTAGAAATGATGAATTATTTAATAAGACACATGTTTCTGCTTATCATTTGATAATTTCTCCATATCAGGTGAAATTTTTGTCAATGACTGGAAGAAAACATTATCCAGGTGCTAACCACAATCCTAAACTCTGTTCGACCATCCATTTACTCAAGCTCCCCAAGTATGTTATGCATTGTTTTATTCTGTCCCTCTTGCCTTCAATCGGTCTTCTGAGTATCAGATTTTTGCAAGCCTTCTTTCCTCTTCATATGATGTAGAAATTTCAAATGTCTCTTTCTGATGTTAAGTATATTTCCTTTTTGTTTCCATTTTCTCTAAAACTTGTTGCTCACATATTCGATCCATAGTATCCTCAGCACCCTTCTGCAGAATCACATTTCTGTTGCTTCAAGTCTCTTCTTCATCTTTGAGGAGACATTCACTGTCATATAGGAAGACATTCACTGTCATATAGGAAGACATTCACTGTCATATAGGAAGACATTCACTGTCATATAGGAAGACATATATCACATAACATAACTCTTTTCTTTGTTTCTATCAAAGTTTTTTCTATTTCTTAATACTCTGCTAAGTTTTTGGAATGCATCTTTGATTATCCCAATGTGCCTTCAGATTGCAGTGTCACACTGGTGTTTTAAAAACAAATATGGCACTAAGAGAGATTGTGGAATAGCGTGATGGATTATAAGTAAGATTTGATTTTCTACAAAGCAAATAAGTTCTGGTAGCTTCGTTGTTACAACAGTTGGAGCTTTCAACCAGGCTCCTTGCAGTAAGAGGAACATGAGTTCAAATATTACCAAAATTTTATGCTTTATTTCTAATACTGCACAGATTACCCTGGAACATGGATTTCTAATTATTAAATATGATTCTTGATATTTGGTTTGGTTTGGTTTACAGCATATCAACCTCAATGGGTCATTTAATGCCAACAATTTTTTTTTTCCTGGTCATATTTTTGTTTTGTCAAAAATCTATTTCTGTTAATATTTTCTTCTCAAAATACAGCTGGCAACATTATTTTTTCAAAGATGTATTATCAGAGGTCTTGCTGTTGGATGTAGTTTATCATCATACCCAGGACACGGATGTAGTTTATCGTCATACCCAGGACGCGTTTCTTGATATTTGATAATGAGAAATCCATGTTGAAAAACTTGAAATACTTTTTTTTTTTTTAAACTGTTTCTCAGTCTCTTTATTCTTTTCTTTTTTTCCTTTTTTCTTTAATTCAGTGTCTTTTTCTCTTTACAGAACACAACCCTCTTGATCTCTTTTCCTGTCCCTCTCATACTCTCTTTTTTCCTAACACTTGTTGTTGTTCTCTTCTTTTCTCAAACTTTCTATCATTTCTCCTTTTTATCATTTTCAATCTTCATTCCACCCACTGACTTATTATCTTTTCTACTGTGATCAACACTTCTTTTCCCAGTATTCTTTCTGGCTTTTTTTTTCTCGAACATTGATTATACTAGTCAGTAGCAACTGAGGGAGACTATTTCCTATGACTAATATTCACTCATAATCAAATGTTTAATATCAGCAAATCAATAATCTGATCCTTTTTCTTTCAAAAGAGAAACAATAAACAATTAAGCCCAGGTGAGATTTTATTCTTATCTTTAGTAATATGGGTGAAGCTCATAATCCTCTACCTGTAACAATGAATTCTTTCCATTCATTCCTATTTAGTTAACAGCACTCTATCTAGCTAGCATTCATGTGTGCGGAACACTTCTTGCTAGAGTTCCTTAAAATACATTAACTGCATTATCACAAGGCAAATCATTAATGATTCCAGTCAGATAGAAATCTATTTATACTACAGTTAAGTGATGCTACAGAATTTTAATGGATAAGGTGACTGTTGGTCACCAATTTGTAGCAGAGAGTTGCTAGATTATAATGGAATAGATTGAGAACTTTCAAGAGAAATTCAACACATCAAGGATTTCTATACACATATTGATGTGAAAAACTTCTCAGAGTTAACCTGTAGAAAAAGACAATAGGTATAAAGGTAAAAGACAATAGGAAAACTTATTAACCAACATGTTTCATCCAGTGTGGACTTTTCCAAGGCGAAATGAATTTATTAAAAGCAAAATAACTATTAACAACAAAACAAACTGTCCTTAGCAACAAGAAGAATACAATAACATTTTCTAAATTCTTCTAGTCCCTGCCATGAAGGTTTGAAGGAAATGAAGTTCATCTGAGCACTTTCAGTGGAAGTAGTGGTAGAGCAGCAGGAGGCTTGCTACATCCCACCTGTTAGGGAGAGGTTGGAAGGTGGAGAATAATTTTCACCCACAAGGGCTCATAGATGCTTTTGGACAAAAACAGTGAGGTATTTGCAATATATGGCAACAGTACTCCATTTTTGGTCTGTTCTGCTTCTTGTAAAGGTAGAGGATAGCAGGAGGAGTTATGTACTTACTAAAGCAGTAAAGGGAAATTACCATTTTGCCTGCATCCTTAGCAAAGGATCATATGTACGAGTTCCACCAGCCATAGATACAGATATTTACCCAAACATTTATAATGAAAAAATAAAGTTTCATTCCCTAGAAAGGAACATGCTAAGTGTAGAAATGTGTTACATGCATTCTCTCTCACTCTGAAAAGGAAAACAAGATGTTACAAAAACTGTCTTTAGTACACCATATAATTTCAAAAGGCTGTGTCTACCCACAAGTGCTGGACACATCTTGTCTTAGTGGTGTCTACCTAAAGACCGTCTATGTACAGATTGTGCTTCCTGAATGCTCATTATGAATCCCATACTAAATGGGAATAAGGAAAGAAAGTTAATCCAACAACCATTACTAATTTTTGACTAATATTTATTTCATCTTAATTTTAGTTTCTTCTCATCCCAACTAACCAACCCAACATTAAGTAAATAGCATGAATCAGAAATAAACTCTAAGACACAAACTGACATTTCTTTTGCATTTAGATGCCTGTCCATGTACAGCAGCTGCTCTCTTAACCGAGTTTATGTATAGTTTAGTGTTTATTCTTTATGCCCAATCTATGGCAGTTAGAAATAATCATTGAAATTTGTTTCTTTTAATAAAAATAAATATAATCTGGTGGCATAGTAATTCTGAGTTCAATCCCTGGGCCAGGTAGTGCAAACTTGGACTTAGTGGAAAACAAGGTGAGCAATAACAGATCAGTGCTAAAAAGAACAAGATAAAATATCACTAGACAGGGAAAGAGAACACTATCCCTATAGATTAAATAAAGGATTCAATTTGAAATTTCTTGAAGGTCACCTGAAGAAGGGCAGATGGCACAAGAGCTGAAACATTGTGATGATAACAACAAAGATGAAGATATTAGATAGGAAGTAAATAATGTAAATAAAGATAACATAACTACTACTAATTTTACTAATGTATGCACAAAAAACATGGTGATGAGCAAATCAAAAAAATAAAGAATGTGTTTGTTTTTATATTTGATGTTAAGCCAAGCTTAAAAGCTCTGGGATCTCCCAGGCCTTTTAAAGATGGCAAAAGATCAAATCATTAGAGCAGCTACTGTACATACAGCTTCTTTCCCCACAGACACAACATTTCAAGCATATTGCTATTCTACCACTACTTCCATGGCAAATGTTCAGACAAGGCTGTCTTTATAACCTAAACCTTTCTTTCAGACAGATTCTTTCTAAGAACCGCTACTTTGTGGAACAGAATGGAATATGAATGTTTCCCCTGAACACTTAACCTCTCCACGTCTGTAGTTAATCATTATCTATCTGCCGTATCCTCATAATTTACACTTCCTATTTTCTCTTCTTACACTCATTTCACACTTCATTCAGTAACCCTCTACTTTGAGTGGCTCTTGGTCCTTGTATTGGGGAACATTTATAAAAAAAAACACAGATGGACTCCCTGTGGTAAAAAAAAAAAGGATGTGTATTCGAGTTTTGTTAAGTATAATTTTTCCTTTTTGTATTGGAGTTTATTTATTATATCCGAGTCACTCCATTTACTCACTGCAGTAGATGAACAGTCCAATTAGTTTGAGTTATGCATGCATAACTGAAAGAGCTCAGAGCAAACATGTGAACTTTTCTATGGTTTCTACCAGTAATTAAGAGATATAAAATATGCAAGAATAAAAAGCTGTGCAGTGCTTTCAGCAGATGACTCAGCTGATTTATGATAAAAATTTAAGATATATAAGATAAAATATATATGTTTTAAGGTATGGTATATTTATGGGAGAAAAATGCTCAATATCAGAAACAGAGTGTACATAAATATAAACAGTGTGGACATAGGCATTAACACTGTATAGCAAGTCTGTTTTATGTTTAAACACAATTATCAAACCAT